TTTAACTGCGTGCAGTTAGCGTGGGTATTTTTAAATTTATTTTTGCCCATTTCCTTAAATGTGCCTCTCTTCCTCTCATCTCCCAAGAGCAATACATAACGCTGCTCCACTGAACCGGGAAAGCAAGGAAAAATACGATTACGCTTAAATTACTCCAGAATTAATTTCTGGAGATTTAGCTGTAGCAAAACAGCAAGGAGTCTGGTGGCACCTCAAAGACTTAAGACTCGTTGTTTTTCCATTGTTGTAGATTGCAGGTTTTGCCCTGGGAATGTTTCTGAATCTAGGAACAAATTAACTTTTCCAGAGTGAACAACGGACTTTGCTAACAACGAATGCTTAGGAAAGGGTTGAAAGCTGGTTTAACCCTTTCCTAAGCATTCGTTGTTAGCAAAGTCCGAAGCTGCTCTTGATGACACCGACAAAATAAGACTAAACAAGTCCCAGCAGGGTCAGTCAGTGTCTGGATGGGTGAGCATCTGAAGCCACATTTATGCTGCCTTATCTTCCACAAGGGAAGAAAGGCGGACTGTTAAGTTGTGGGTGAACATATCAGATGATACAGCAATTCTTCAAACAGCTCTTGTTTATTCACAGGCCAGAAAAGAACTGAACAGAAAGGTTCAGCCAGCCTGCTTATATAGAGCTCCACTACAACGCAACAGTAACCACTTTCTGTAACTATCCAATCACTGAACGTCACTTTCAATCCCTTATTTGCATATGTGGACCTGAGTGAAAACTACAGTATCCCCCTGCTGGCCCAGGGTGAGAACTTCAGTACATAACATGGACTATAAATGTAATAAACAAACCAACTAGCCAGCCAGCCAACAAACAACCTCCTAGGGGCCCAAGTCAGATAGCAACAATGAAGAAAACCCATTTGGCTGTTATAAAGAAAGCAACACAAAGTGCATGTGGTGAGCTGCTTGCTGCCATTGACAAAGGTAATGAATAATGCTACCGGCCAACATCGAGAGTAGCCCCATTATCTTCACTAACAGGGAATGATGTATTCAGGCTGTCACCACTGACAAAGCCTTGTCTCTTGTGTAGATTTATCTGAGTGGGTGGAACAGAGAACAAACCGTCTGCTGCTGATCTTAAAGTCCAGGCAGGTTCATGAGCCGATACAAGATTAGATATGAGAAGGCAGGAAGATTCTGTCTCCTGAATAAGGGTTGCCTTCCTTCCATTACCCTCTCACTTTATGATTTTCAGGCAGCCTATGCTAACTTCTGCTTTGGCTGTGTGTACACTATACATTTAAAGCAAATGGCTTCCCCCGAAGAATCCTAGGAGCTGGAGCTTGCTGCTCTCACAGAGCTCCAGTTCCCAGCATCAGTAACAAATTACAGCTTCCAGGATTCTTTGAGTGGGGAGAGACATGTTCTCTGAATGTGCTCTGAATGGTGTATACACAGACATGGACTGAAGCACTTGTGTACATGCTGATGGCAGGTGTGAACTTAGCTTGAATCAGCTTTTGGAATGCCACTGCTGAGTTGTTGAGCATTGCTTTCCAAGGACTTGATGGAGGCATGCAATGATCTGGACCAGGTTGACGATTGTGCATGCCAGCAGCCTTCATATAACCCCCTTATTGTTCAATCACATGACTAGAAATTAGCACAGGCTAACTGGAAATCACAATTGTTCTCGGCCTTCCCCCACCACCAGCCCCACAAGCTCGGGGAGCAGCGGAAAGGCTGTGTGCAGCCTTTCCGCTGCTCCCCGACCTGCTCTTTGGGTCGAGCAGCTCTGGGGTAGCCCAGGAAGCCTCCGCAGGGCAGTGGGGAGCCTTCATCCCGCTGCCCTGGGGAGGCTTTGCGCGGCTATCCCTGGCTTTTGTGGGAGGTGGGGGAAGGGACAGAGCGAGGCCCCCCAAAGCCGCATTTTTTTTCTTTTTAATTCCCCCCCCCAAAAAAGCCTTATGGTCAGGTGCGCTTATGGCACAAAAAATACGGTAAATAAATGTTCATAGATCTACAAGGCAAACACAAACATAAGTATATAAACCATGTGTCTGAAATACAGGAGTACAGGAGAACAATCCTGAAGCCATTTTGACTCTCCCAAATTGACCTCAAATATTTCTCTGCAAGGAGGAAGGAAATGGGAATTGCTTTCCAATTGTCTTTGGACGGTAGAGGCTTACACCTCCCTGTAAATACAGTCTGGCAAGTATCTATTAAGCTGAGCACACTATTGATATGCACAACAGATTCAGGAACTAAGCATTTACCATCTCAAAGCAATGGCCAGGCTACCCAGCTAAGGCAATCAGACAAGGCATTATCAGGTATCCTGGCAGACAGGAGAGAAGCAACACACTCAAATTTCTGCTGGGGACCACCTCTTTCTGTGATGTATGCATGATGTTTTGGGGGGTGGTCTTGAGCTACAGGTGAGGCAATTTCAAAAGTCTATATAAGAGCTTGCACACCAATGTTCTGGCTTCCTCTCCTCCCTCCTTGTGTGTGGGGAGTGGGGGACCCTGTTGCAATAGTTTAATAAAGATCATGCTTACTAGCTGCTTTGTTTCTCAATATTCTCTGGCTGGCCTCTGTTATTTTCTCCTACCAATAGAGAACTTACATAAGGACTCTATACGGGCTCTTAGATACCCCATAAGGGAAAGGGAGCAGTTTTTTTCTTATAACACCAGGTAACTCCGAAAATTGTAGCTCTGGGAGTATTGGGGTATATTGATTCACAAAAGGGACTTGTAATAGCCCAGTTGTATTTTTGGCACATCCACACACCGTGTCTTAAACACAGAGCATGGGGAATAAATTGTATTGTCCAGCGATTGATTGTCAGTGCTGGACTGATTTTAGGCAATCCTCCCCCCAAAAAGCTCAACAACTCAGTCTTTGGGGAGTTGGATGTGTCTATTGGAGACTTTTTTTTGAAAAGGCTGCTAAGTCATATTTGGTCTGTAGATGGCAGTACCAACACCATCTGAAGTAAATTACAAGTTCTGTCATAACAAAATTGGTGCAGAATGATGATGTAGCTAATATGGTGTGTTCTCAAAACAGGGTGCAGCCTTCAGAGCTTATTTACACATACAATTCTGAGCAAAGTTATGTTATTCAACTCCCATTGAGATTGAGAGGACTGAAGCATCCTTTTAACTATGCAGTAGATTGTAGTAATTTGTTTTAAGACACGTTGAACACTTCTCCCGCCTTTGCATGCAAACAGTTGTCAGCTGAAACCCTGGAGATATTTCTGAAGTGTTAGCAATTTTGTCAGCTCAGCTAGAGTGGTTAAAGTCAAATTCCTTTCCCCCGATTTTTTCGCTTAAAGCACAGTTCTGTATTTTTATTCAAAACATACTGAAGATGGTTTACTTTTTTTGGGGGGGGGGGATAAATTGCCGTATGTGAGAAAAATGAACGAGAGACCCCCAAGAAGTAATATGTTAGCTTTTCTTAGACTGCACAGCAGCAGAGCTTTCTCCCACTACCACAGGGAAAAATCCAGTGTGGCTAGATTTCTTTTTGTGTGTTGATTTGCTTTGACTCCCAACACCCAGTGATGCTCAGACAGTAGTAACTGGGTAACTGGTGCCCCCAAATGTTGGTGCTGTGCAGAAGGCCTCCTAACCAATATCTCCTCTAGGTCTGCCTAGTAGCAGCCTGCAGGACAGGACAGGGCCAAGGTGGAGGAAAGTGAAGGTGGAGGGCAAAGGCTGGAGGGTGGCATTTGCTATACATATGTACACACTTGCGCAATAATGTTGCCTAAGGCTCCTGCTCAATATGTATAAGGCTCAATATATGTTCTATCTGCACATACAGGTGGGCATGTTTACGAAGCAGTGTGTATCAATGTTCTCAACTCCCCTCAATCAGTCTATGCACTGGCAGAACTGATGTGAAATCTTCCCTTCTCCACTTAATTTTTTCCCTGTGTCTTTTTTGATATACCAGAAGTCTGATAGGAGAGGGCGAGTGGCACAGTCCTGCAACTTCACTAAGTCAATAGGAGGTGACCTAAGAAAACATTATCTATGTACACATGGCAACAGCAAGCACCTGAGAAGTGTATTCTCAGCACAAAATAGATTAAAACGGTTCCTGCAGAATATGCTTTAGATTAACTAATAGTGTGGGACACGGATAACATGGGGATGACACTGTATGTATAGTACCTCCAAATGCTCCTGCATCTAGACCTGAACACACATTATCATTTAGTGCAGGCTTCCTCAAATTCTGCCCTCCAGATGTTTTTGGCTTATGACTCCCATGATCCCTAGCTAGCAGGACCAGTGGTCGGGGATGATGGGAATTGTCATCTCAAAACATCTGGAGGGCTGAGTTTGAGGAAGCCTGATTTAGTGTGGTTGGGAAAATGGGAAAGGAGCATTCCATATTGCAACATTTTGTTGCAGGACTCTTTTATTCCCTCTGTCTCTGATGTTCAGGTTATGAGCTCTGTTGATTATGTATGCAGACCACCAATGCACAAGTGGGAAGACTGAGCAGGAACCCCGAGGTTTGCAGAAGTACAAAAGAAAAATTATAAATGAAAAACTCTTAAGCAGGAGTGGGCGGGGAACCCAAAACTGTCCAGTCAGGAGAATTAAGCATGCTCAGTAGTTATGGGATGCTGATCTACTCTTGGAGTGGGGGATATGGGGAAGGGAAATGGAATGGAGTGACCAGAATCCTGAAGAGAGAGGATTCTACATAGCAACACTTTGTTGCAGGTACAACTTGTCATCACCATTAAATACACAGAGCTTGTTATTTAAGCATGTGGAACAAAGCAGCCAAACAAAGGATTCATTTTTATATCTTGCAGGGATTTAGGAAAGTGGTCACAGATGATTTTTAATAAATGATTTATTTATTTTTTAAAAAGGTTGACTCAGTCAAAGCAATAACAGTCCACGTAGCTAGAGTATTATTAATCGAATCACATGGCCCGGAGGAGACGGGCGTTTCCGTTTTCATTTTATCCCACACCCTTTACCTTTTCCTGGTTGCAGATTGCAAAGTATCACAGTTCAACAGTGTAAACCATCCAGACTTTCAAGGCAACTCTCTGACTATGGATTTGCTACTGGGATGTTTATTTATCTGGAAAGTTTTAAGGTAAGTCTTCTTTATGAGAGGAGTGTTGCCTGTAGTTAAAAAATCTAGGTGATCATATTCTACATCATCTATATATAGTCTTAGAATGACAATCCGGAAGCCAACCAAAGTAGATGTGTACTGTTTACTTCAGTGGTTATAAGGCAGGGAAACAAACAAGTATTACTGTGGGTTCCAGAGCTGTTCTGTTATGGTTAACTCATGCTGTCAAGAAGTCTATCAAAGGATGTATTTTTCCCTAGATCTTGGAAGAAAAATTAGAGGGATTTTTTGGGGTATGGAATAATAAGGGATATGTTTCTTCATGCTGATTCTCAGTAAATGCTCTCCATGTTATTGAAGATGATATTGTAGGTGGGAGATGAAAAATTGACACTGAAGGCATTTTCAGTTTGTTTCATTCTCTGCATTTCTGTCATGCTTATGTCAAACTTACATTGGGTAGAAATAAAACACATTCAGTTTCGAAATTCCCAATTCCCACTTTCTGTTCCACATAAACACACACACACACACACACACACACACACACACACACGTGGGTTGCTTTCAAAATGCCCTAGGGTCAAATTGCCCATCTGATAAGGTTGCAATCATAGCCCCACTTATCTGGGAGTAAGGCTCCTAGAATTATATTAGGCTTACTTCTGAGTAGAAAAGGTTAGCACTGCACAAGTGCCTGAAGGAACTGACTATGTCTCTTTGAAGAGATTAAACAACAATTGTTTGCCCCTGAACCACACAGACAGCAATTGTCTGCAGGGGAGTGTGTGACTATTGTTTATCAGTATCCACAGCACTAATCTAAATTGCTGGGATACTGGGATTCTTGCCTAAGCACATACAATTAGCATTTAGCTGTGTGGATGGCAGTTGTACTAACGCCATAGGTGACTGTCAGACGCCATGGACACTATGATACAATTGCAAGCACCTTTAACCGTCTACCTGTGGCATTTTAAATGGCTTGTTAAATTGTTCTTCTTTTGGGACTTCCCCCTTTTTTCCCCCCTCAGTGACCACGCTCTCTAGCCACAAACATCTTACCATCTCTTGTGCCTTCACACAACGCCAGCCTTTCACCCTTTTAAAATGTAATGGGTATTGCTCCGTATGGCTGTCACTACCAATGAGCCATAAAAACGGCACATTGCTGCGCAGGAAAGGATTTCCCCCTGGAAAGGGTCTCAGAGTTAAATTAAGCGAAATGCTTCGGAAAAGAGCGGCCAATCGTTCTGACAAATGTGCCAAAGATCAAGTGCAAAGTACAAGGCAAACATGCCATGGAAGCATGAAGGGGGAGGAGAGGAAGTAGAAGTCCTGTTACACCAGCAGAACTCTGCTGGCACAGCATTGGATATAATAGTTTGTTTTCAGATGTGTTTTCTTCCATTCCAGTCCCCTGAGAGAGAAGAGGGAGTGTCTGTCCTGAAATGCTGCCTTTCATCTTTACTTTTTGACATACCTATATTAAAAACAAGCCACTTAAAAAAGAACAAATGTGTTCCCTATTAATTTCTTTTGTAAAGGCTTTTATGGATTAATCTATCTGATTAGTAGTTTAGGGCTGCAATCCTATGCACCGTTATCTGGGAGTAAGCTCATTGAACACAGCAAAACATGCACAGGATTGCATTGCATTTGTTGCTGCTGTAATCATTATTTATGCTGCTGTTAAGAGGTTTTTACACTCTTCTGATCCAGCTAGTTACCTATCCATTTATTCTTTTCAGGACTTATCAGGAGGAATCAGCTTCACCAGTACCATTCAATGTGCATATGGATATGTACGCAAATGAATCTTCAGTACTGAAGCAGAGCTAATCTATCCGAGTATCTTTGGTTTTGATTCAATTTGCCACTTCAACAAATACACACCCCAATTTCCCCAAGGAGAAATACGCTCACATATTTTCTTAGTATGTGATGCACTGAGAAATGCCATATTTTGCTTGTGACCTGAGATGAAATGATCAACCAAGACAATGAGATATACAAAGCAAGAGTTTGCTACGATGGTTCTTGGAATTGTGGTTTATGTTGCGGATATTGGAGCAGATCTCTGGGTAGCAAACAAATATTTCCATGAGGGACAGTATCTCTGGTGTGCCTTGACATTGGCCACAGGGCTTCTTTCATCACTAGTTGTCCAGTATTTCAGTTACACTTGGTTTAAAGATGATGGCACTCACAAGCCGAGTTGGATTTCTTCATTACATCTCTTACAAGCTGGAATATTTACAAGGTAAATATAAAACATAGAACTTACAACTAGCTATGCTTGTAATGTCCTTGATGACTTTTAACGGGAAAGAAGATGATGGTGACTGGTTAAACTTTCAAAATTTCAAATGTGTGCAAGGGTGTGAGGCATAGGAGCAAACTCCTAGGGGCCAAAGGGTCTTCATCCCCCCCCCAATAAAATATTTGAGGGGGCCAGCCTCCCCCAAGTTGATGGTCACTGCCATTCAAATGGTGTGCATGCACTGCGTCATGTGATTATGCGGGGCAGGGCTTACCTGCCCTCCATATTTTATTCAAGTTGACACCCCTGGTGTAAGATAAGCAGAATGGGTTGCCTAGCTGCCGTTTGCTGACTTGCTTTATCCTAAAGAGTGACAGTTAGGAAGGAGAGGCAGGGATCTGGAGTGATGTACACATGAATTTGCTGGTACGTGATCAAACCCCACCCCAAAACAGCAACTGTTTGGAAACTACCAAAATTCCTGTTGTTCTTTTATTTTTGTTTAATATTCTTTCATCCCCCCCAAATAATTAAGGTTGTCAAACACTGACAAAGGAGCATCTATGTACATAACATCCAAGTGACAGTGTAGCAGTTGCTTTGCCAAGATTCCTTTAATGACTGTCATGAGAACTTGTGTGATTTAAAATGTTCTTAACTAATTATGTTTCTCACAGTCACTTCAGCCAAAGGAATTATTAGACAAATTAACTTTTCCTCTGTTCCAGGCTGTGGATGTTGGAAGTGCTAAGGATGCTTGCTTTCTGTACTTGCCACTAAAATGTTTCTTCGTCATCTTAAGAAGGCGACTAGAACAAAAGAGCCACACATTTGCTATCTTTCCCACTAAATGCTCCATCAAGATGAGCGCAGTTTGTACAAGTAGCAAGCAAGTGACCACTATGGAAATGGAATGTGCAATATCAAACAACCTGTTAATAATAACAACAACTCAGTAGGGGATGATGTGGTGCCGCCACTCGCCTGACCTCTGGTTGGTTTCATTGCTGTTGCATACCAGGAGATAGATGGAGAAGGGCAAGGCAGTGGCAAGGGTGGTGCACTGCTAATGCACCAGCAGAGCCAATCTAACCCTCCTACTGGTGCATTTGCACCATGCCAACCTCCCTGCCCACTTTCTACCTTTCAGTAAGCAGGTCAGGGTGAGTAGTAGCACCATACTGTGTCGTCTGCTATTGAGCAGACTTCAAATTCCTAACATGTTTGTTGGGTGGTGGCGGCGGCAAAGGGGAGAATGATACTCCTTTATCATTTGTGATGTAAAAAGCATTGTGGAGCAAACGGTCTAACAGGCCAGGCATTTGTACAATATTTTTCCTTTCATAACATTGTGTCTTTCAGATCTTCAAAATAATGTGCTATTTGTAGAATATGAAGCATTTTTTAAAAAATTGCTCTTTGTTACTATTTAATATTTTCCCCATCCAATCCAAACATATATTGGTAAAACTTTTATTTTAAAAAAGTGGTTAATGTATTTAATTTGGCATTAATACAAGGTCCAAGAGCAGGTCATATGTCTGCCAAGAAGCAGAAGCTAAACATAACCCAACAATTTCTCCCTAGGTAAATGCCAAGTGATATTCAGTAAGCACTTTACTTTGTGCGAATCCTTGCCAGGAGTCCAAAGGTCACCTCACACCTTATCAAGCTTCTCAGTTGTGAACCGGGGAGGTTTCACATAAAGCTGTGAGCTTGCCCCAACACACCGCTTGGACAACCACAAGCTTAGGTGTATGAGTGTGTGTGTGAGGAACAGATTGATTTACTCAAGCAGGTTTTCTGGAAAATACTGGGCTACACAGATGCCTCAGTCTAGGATACAAGAACCAGATGTTTGCGTTTCTGATTGTTTTATAAACTGAGAATACGGCAGGGCTTTTGTCATTCAGAAATATAAATGTGTGTCATCAGCACCACACAAGAAAGCAGCTCTGTATAGAAATTTAGTTCCTTGTTCTTACATATTAAACTCAAAGCCATGAATGGGATCCCTACAGTTTCTGTTAGTGCTGCAGGCATTCCTGAAGGAACAGGGAGCAGGTCTTGGATTTTTAGTTTGTTATTCCACAACTGCTCATGTATCTTAAGGGCAGCAATGAACTTCCATGAAAGGAATATGCACCCTTCTTTAGAGGGCAACATCCCTGAAAGGAATGCATATCCTCCTTTAGAGAAAAATGGCACCATCATCTGATGTATTACAGGTAACCTGCTCAAGAGCCTATGCCCAGCCATCTGCCCACCCAAAGTACTTTTGCTACCCAGTTCAAGAGTTCTTAGCAATGCCTCAGAAAGAGCAGGGAGGGAGTCCTTGCATCTGTGCATAGTTATTAAATCCTATGGTTCAACCCTCCAGATACAATTTAACTTCCATCTGCCTCAGCCAGCATGATTAACGATAAGGGAAAATGGATGTTGTAGTCTATTAATTATTATTATTATTTATTAAATTTGTATTCTGCCCTATACCTGCAGGTCTCGGGGCAGTTCACAACATAATGTCACAATATAAAGACACAAAATACATAATAAAAACAAGAACAAGGTGTAGTCTAGCAACATTTGGAGGACCACAGATTTTTATTTCTTTGGGGGGGGGAATAGATATAGATCACCCATGTGGGATAATCAATAAAAGACTGGCTGGATCCCTAGATCCAAAGTGCAGAGTTAAACATATTATCCAGTAAGAGACAGCTCCCAGCAGAATTTTCAAGTCACAAAAGAAAGCAGCAGAATAGCATGCCAACAAAGGTCTGTATAGTAAAAGCCATGGTTTTCCCAGTAGTGATGTATGGAAGTGAGAGCTCGACCATAAAGAAGGCTGATTGCCGAAGAATTGATGCTTTTGAATTATGGTGCTGGAGGAGACTCTTGAGAGTCCCATGGACTGAAAGAAGATCAAACCTTGGACAGAAGTAAAGAAACATCTAGAAATATGGTCAAGGTTGAGACTCTCCTTGTTAGGCCGAATTGCTGTCATCAAGATGAATGTATTGCCTAGAATGTTGTTTTTATTCCAGACGTTGCAGATTTTGGACAAGATGGACTGTTTCAAGAAGTGGCAGAAAGACATATCTAAATTTGTCTGGCAGGGCAAAAAGCCCAGAATAAAATTTAAGATTTTAACTGACGCAAAAGATAGAGGGGGGTTTGCCCTGCCGGACTTAAGACTCTATTATGAATCGGCAGCTTTTTGCTGGCTGAAACATTGGCTGCTTCTTGAGAATACAGACATTTTGGATCTGGAAGGGTTTGATAATAGATTTGGCTGGCATGCATACATATGGTATGACAAAGTAAAATTGCACAAAGGTTTCAAAAACCATATTGTTAGGAAAGCATTATACAATGTTTGGATGCGGTACAAAGATTTATTGGAAAGTAAAACTCCCAGGTGGTTGTCACCAATGGAAGCTAAAGAGGTGAAAAAACTTAATATGGAGTCTAAATGGCCAAAATACTGTGAAATTTTAGAACAAGATGGTGAAAAAGTTAAATTACAGAGTTATGAGAAATTAAAGTCCAAGGTACGAGACTGGTTGCATTACCTTCAGATAAATGAGATATTTAAACAGGATAGGAAAATAGGCTTCCAGATGGAGAGATCAAAATTAGAAACAGAACTGTTAGAACCCAATACTAAGAACTTGTCTAGAATGTATAATCTGCTGTTGAAATGGAATACACAGGATGAAACGGTGAAATCAGCTATGATTAAATGGGCACAAGATATTGGTCATGACATTATGTTTGCTGACTGGGAACAGTTATGGACCACCGGTGTTAAGTTTACGGCATGTAACGACTTAAGAGAAAACATAATGAAAATGATTTACAGGTGGTACATGACCCCAGTCAAGCTTGCAAAAATTTATCACTCGCCCAATAATAAATGCTGGAAATGTAATGAGACTGAAGGTACTTTTTATCACCTTTGGTGGACCTGCCCGAAGATTAAAGCCTTTTGGGAAATGATCTATAATGAAATTAAGAAAGTCCTTAAGTGGACTTTCCCTAAGAAACCTGAGGCTTTTCTCTTGGGCATGGTTGGCCAATTGGTGTCAAGGAAGGATAGGACGTTTTTCATGTATGCCACTACAGCAGCAAGAATTCTTCTGGCAAAGTATTGGAAGACACAAGAACTACCCACTCTGGAAGAATGGCAGACGAAGGTGATTGACTATATGGGACTGGCAGAGATGACCGGCAGAATCCGTGACCAGGGGAAAGAGACAGTGGAAGAAGACTGGAAGAAATTTAAAATATATCTTAAAAATTGCTGTAAAATTGAGGAGTGTTAAAATGTTAAGGAACTAAGAAATAGAGAATTGCAGCTGTAATCAATAAGTTAGAAAAAAGAATCTAATGAAAGTGATTTAAATAATTAATTAATTGGAGGAGTTGCCGAAAAAATGTAAAACAAGGATGCAGAAAAGGGGAGGTATGGGGAAGTCCGGGAAGTAAGGTGTATGAAAATAAGAATATGAAATTATACATGTTTATATGTGTGTATGTTTTTGTTTTATGTATTGTTTGTTTTTATTATGTGTTTGGAAAATCAATAAAAATTTATTAAAAAAATGAAAAAAAAATGAAAGAAGATCAAACCTTTCCATTCTTAAGGAAATCAGCCCTGAGTGCTCACTGGAAGGACAGATCGTGAAGCTGAGGCTCCAGTACTTTGGCCACCTCATGAGAAGAGAAGACTCCCTGGAAAAGACCCTGATGTTGGGAAAGATGGAGGGCACAAGGAGAAGGGATGACAGAGGACGAGATGGTTGGACAGTGTTCTTGAAGCTACCAGCATGAGTTTGACTAAACTGCGGGAGGCAGTGGAAGACAGAAGTGCCTGGCGTGCTCTGGTCCAGGGGGTCACGAAGAGTCGGACACGACTAAACGACTAAACAACAACATAGGCAGTCAAACCTTTTAAATGTATCCTGTCCTGAGTAAGTTTTAAAATGCTTTACAGTGGTACCTCAGGTTACAGATGCTTCAGGTTACAGACTCCGCTAACCCAGAAATAGTACCTTGGGTTAAGAACTTTGCTTCAGGATGAGAACAGAAATTGTGCTCTGGCGGTGTGGCGGCAGCGGGAGGCCCCGTTAGCTAAAGTGGTGCCTCAGGTCAAGAACAGTTTCAGGTTAAGAACGGACCTCCAGAACGAATTAAGTTCTTAACCCGAGGTACCACTGTACTTACAAAGTTCAAAAGGTCAAGTTCATGCATTTATCCATGCAGCAGCAAGTAAACACAGGCAATAATCTTAGGATACAAAACAGCTCATGGTCTGAGCTCCTAGTGAGAAAACTCAGGCACGTCCTATTTTGATGAGGTCACATGGTGATAGAGAACTAAAAAAGGAGGAAACTAAAAAAGGAGGAAACTGTCCCTGCTGTCTTGCCCTTCACCTCTAAGCAACTGGCAGTGATGTGTGGCTTTGGGAAGTTAGGTCAGTAACACAACTCTGCCCACGCCACCAGCTGCTACTGCTTCTAGGGTGGGGCAAGGCAGTCATTGATGACATCCCCTGATCACAAACACACAGTGTCTCTGCCCTGTGGACTACATAAGCATGCATACAGTAAGGCAGGGGTCGGCAAGGTTTACCTCATCTGGACCGGTTCACTCCAGTGCAGATCCCTCTGTGGACCAGATCGTGCATGCGCCCCCTATTTCCGGCGTCTGTGCAGAAATGATTTCCAGTAGCCCATGGGCCTTCGGTTGCTGACCCCTGCAGTAAGGTTTCATTAAACATCCAGTGCAATTGTCAAGTATTTTAAGCTATTCAGGCACATTGTGCATGGAACTTCTACCCTTGGGTTAACCTTTGCTATAATTATCAGAATAATGAGGACATTCTGACACCCCAAAATCTTTTTTAAGGGGTGAAAGTTGTTTTCAGTGTTTTCAAAAGCATTGTGAGGTGAGCCACAGGTATGGAGGCCACCATTGCTGTTCTGTAGGAAGATATTTATGTATAAATTTACCTAAGATTTCTGCAGGGTACATTGGAGCTTGCCACAAAACTGCCAGCATGTGAACTTCAAAACATTATTCAGAAGTTCCCACAGGGGCAATCGGTACTTCTTGGGATATGTTCTTGTAAGCAGAGCTTTTAAAAACAACAAACTGAAGAGGAGCGAGTAAGTGCCCTGTCATTTTGAGAAACAGCAGAAAATGAGGTTAGTTAAAATACGTTTTAAGAGGGGCTTTCTATCTTCCTTTTATCTCTGCTTGCAGTTGCTTCTTTGTGAAACATTTGAGATGCAGAGCAAACACACCTTTGCATCTGCTCAAAAATGTGCCTTGTGCTCAAATGAGAAGACACCTCTGTTTCGAAAACAAGCGTCCAAATCAGCAACTTGGGTATTGGGTTAAGGTAATTCTTGTGGAAACCAAGGACTCAGCTATACAGCTGCAAATAAAATGTTTGAAGTGCAATATACAATGTGACACTGGATGGTGATGGTGAGCCTTATGGAAAATTCAATTTATTTAAAAAAAACACTTAAAAAAAAGCATTTTCATACCTTTTTTTAAATACAGTGGTATCTTGGGTTACAGACGCTTTAGGTTACAGACGCTTCAGGTTACAGACTCCGCTAACCAAGAAATAGTACCTCGGGTTAAGAACTTTGCTTCAGGATGAGAACAGAAATCTCACAGTGGTGGTGTGGCGGCAGCGAGAGGCCCCATTAGCTAAAGTGGTACCTCAGGTTAAGAACAGTTTCAGGTTAAGAACGGACCTCCGGAACGAATTAAGTTCTTAACCTGAGATAACACTGTATGTGTATAGATTCCACCCAAGAGTGTTTCTCCAAGTTTGGCAAATGCCGAACATCTTTTCTTCACTGATGTACGTGTTCCTTGCCAGAGGATGTATGCTGTGATTTGATAGTGGGAATAAAAACTGCATCTCCCAAAAGAAAATAGAAATATTTTGAGAAGCAAACGTTCTTCATGAGGCAATGAATTAACCCCCCCCCCCGAAATGTTTAGTGTGTTTTCCATCTATGTTTTATTTTAAAGGAAATTACTTCATAGCCTTAAGGACACATTATTCAGTGTACGGCTGTGGGAGTTGAGATATAATGCAGTAGTAAACATGACCGTGCATTAGCCCCTCATTTTCCTCTGTCTACCAATGAAATGCATGTCACCACAAGAAATTCATGTGCCCTAAGAATTACAATAGAATTTGCATGTCTATTTATACTGAGGAGCAGGTGCCTTCTGTTACAACCTTCAAATGTCTACCGAAAACATTTCAGTTCCTCCAGGCTTATGCAAGCAGTTAAGAATACCTCTTTCCATAATAGTTAGCTGATCTCTGATTGTAAATTTTTATGTGGATTTATGTATCACTGTTGTAAATAGCTCTTAATATCCATTTTGTGAATTGTGGTATATAAATAGGGTTCTTAAAACCAACCAACCAACCAACCAACCAACAAACAAACATGCCTGCTCAAAAGTAGGTCCCGTTGAGTTCAATGGCGTTTACTCTCAGGTAAGCAAATTGAAGACTTAAGCTGCTTTTGGCATTCCTTGTAACGATAGCACAGGAATTCAAGGCTTATTTTTGAAAGCAGACATGCATATCTGAAGATTGTGGTGGTATATGGGGTTTTGATCGCTGGCTGTAACAGATGAAGCTCTGCACATATATACATGTCATTTTGGTCTGCAACTGTCATCAGTTGGAGGTCGTCCCTCATGCAGGAGTTGTGTAACTGGATTGTGGCTATACTATATATATAAAAGAAAAGCACAGGTGGAATGTGCTGTTACCAATAGGATTGTAGAAGCAGGGACTGAATATAAAATTTTCTGATATAAGTTTAAACCCCCAAATACCGTTACTTTAATATTATTGCAAGCTACATTGGATTTTTTCTTTAAAATGGAAAGCAGGCAATAATTTTAAATAAACAGATAAGGGTTTGTTTCCACAGGGGAGGGGGGGATGCACAGCTTTTTATAGAGCTCTGAAAAGTCCTCAGCAAGTCATTTATCCTATCTAGGGTGGCGCTCTTGATATAGGAAATAAAGTTGCCATCAGCAGAGAAAAGCTCAGCATGTGCAGCAATGAGCCCTATCTGCATTATATATTGAAAGCAGTATCATACCACTCTAAACAGTCATGGCTTTCTTCAAGGAATCCTAGGAACTGTACTGTAGTTTGTTCAAGGTGCTGAGTCTCCTGTTCTCCTCCCAGAGCTATAATTCTCAGAGTGGTTTTACAACCAGTCCTTATTCCCCAGGAACTCTGGTAAAGCAGCTAGCCCATTTGCAAAAGCTAAGCAGGGTCTGGGATGGTTTCACATTGCGTTGGGTTACCTTGCATTTCCTGCAATGCAGGGGGTTGGATTACGAGACCCTCAGGGTCCCTTCCAGCTCTACACGTCTATGATTCTCAGCACCCTTAACAAACTGCAGTTCTTTGGGGCGAAGCCATGGCCATTTAAAGTGATACGATACTGCTTTAAATGTATAGTGCAGATGGGGCCACATTCTCCCAAATTTTTGTATTAAGTTTTTTTTTGGGGGGGGGCAGATTCTGAAAAAAGAGGGAAAATAAAATGGAAAGAGGGAAGTGGGAGCAATAGTTTCTATGGGATCTGTCACCATGCCAACATTTTCTTTCCTTTAAAATTTCAGAACTTCCCCGCTTATTTTGTGTTTCATTTACCGTATTTTTGCTCTATAAGATGCACTTTCCCCCTCCTAAAAAGTAAGGGGAAATGTGTGTGCGTCTTATGGAGCAAATGCGGGCTGCGTGGCTATCCCAGAAGCCAGAAGAGCAAGAGGGAGCGCTGTGCAGCGCTCCCTCTCGCTGTTCTAGCTTCTGGCTTAGCCGCGCAAAGCATTCTGTGGAGGCTTCGCACGGCCATCCCTGGCTTTTGCGGGAGGTGGGGGAAGGGACAGAGTGCAGGGCTCTGTCCCTTCCCCCACCTCCCAGAAAAGCCCGCAAGAGCTGCACTCCCTTTAAAGAGTGCACAGCTCTTGGCTGGCTTTTGCGGGAGGTGGGGGAAGGGACAGAGGGCTTCATAGCCGCTCGCAGCCTCTTCTGCGCAGGGGGAGCCTTCATCCCGCTGCCCTGAAGAGGCTTCACGCGGCTATCCCAGAAGCCAGAACAGCAAGAGGCTATCCAGAAGCCAGATCCCTCTTGCTGTTCTGGCTTCTGGGATTCAGAATATTTTTTTTCTTGTTTTCCTCCTCCAAAAACTAGGTGCGCCTTATGGTCTGGTGCGTCTTATAGAGCGAAAAATACGATAGATGCTTCTTAGAGGTTGAGTTTCTCGCACTCCCTTTGTGTGAATGGGTCTGAATGTGAAGGAAAGGGATGATAAGCCAATTGTGCACATGGCATGATGTGTTTCACGCTCCCACTGTGAAATTCAAAGGGGAGCAGAAGAATGGCTGGAAGAGACAGACTTAAGCAACCCTCTCCCTTTCCGGTCCTCCGTTGCTGCTTTTCATTTGAAGAAACAAACACCATGAGATTGTTAACCACGTCTGTTGCATCATGTTTACTTTGGCCCTAAATCTTACAAAATGCCCGACTGTGCCTTTCTCCATTGCAGGTACTGGGCCGCGCTGAAATGTGGCTACCAGGCAGCATTTAAAACGAACAACTTGGAAGATGGATTGATTGATGGTTGCACCAGCCCCATTCACAAGAGTGCCATTTGTGCAATGACTGATATAAGTATGCTCAGACTATTTAGGGCATTTCTGGAGAGCACGCCCCAGCTCATTCTTCAGATCTACATCCTGATGACATCTGACAGTTCTACCCCCAGTCAGTGTAAGTCTGCTTGTGGTGATGGAAGCCATCTCCTAACAGTGTGTGGAACATGTGATGGCGCACAATGTTCACAAACATTTAAACTGCTCAGAGAACTGCTTCAGTACATATGAAATGCACCTTCTGTGCCTTAAAACAGAGATCAGTCACCACCAGTTCATTCCTCGCTGTTGTTTATGTGACATTTGATTATTGTTTTTTGTCTCAATGTGCATTACTTTAGACTCGCATTAAATAATGTTTGCCATGCTGTTGCCCATTCACCCAACTCCATGGTTGGAGTGTCTTTAAATCTATGTCTCCATATTTCTTCCATTTCCCCATTGCTTCCTCCCTCTGTTTTCTGCTTCTTAGTCCATTGCCCCCGGCTCTACTTTCTTTAGCCACTTTGTTTCTTGTCTTCCCTTGTACCTCTCCCTCTCTCTTTCCCTTCCTCCACCACCCATTCATAGTAGAAAATCTTTCATACCTCAGGACAGTCATACTTTGGGTTACAGACGCTTCAGGTTGCGTTTTTTCGGGTTATGGACCTGCGGAAACCCAGAAATACCAGAATGGTTGCGCATGCACAGAAGGGCTAAATTGCTGTTTGCGCATGCGCAGAAGCGCCGAATCGCAACCCGTGTGTGTGCAGACGCGCCACTGCGGGTTGCGAATGCTGCGAACGTGCATCCCGCATAGATCAAGTTCGCAACCCGAGCATCCACTGTACTCTCTTATTTACACCTTTCCCAGGCCATACCAATCACTGGCCCTCCCTCAAACCATCCTCCCGTCCTTTATTTTCTAATTTTTTGACTGTCTAGGATGTTTCTTTGGACTATAATAAAGGCTCCTGCTTGCCTGGATAGAAAGATGGATGCATAGATGATATGCATCCCGCTTGGCCCTTTGGTGGATGGACTTCTAACCTATTGCACAAAGTTAACAGTCACACCCATTGTGCCACCTAGTGTTGTCATGTGGCCCCTGGAAGGTTGCCCACGAGGCAAGAATGCCTCCTGAGATAGGCCTTTGGTCTGATCCAGCAGTGATCTTCTGATGCTCTCAAAGAAGGAGCTAAGGAAAAAGGAGGACTTTGGTAAAACCTCATGAAGAGCCTGGAGGCCAAAGTGGCTGTGTGCATTCATTAGGGAGGGAATAATCAGGCAGAGTAGTTGGGACAGTGGGTAGAGAGCCAAGGGGCCATTTTGTCTACTGCTGAGAACCTGCCAGGTCATGAACTGCATAGAACTGCATAGAAGAGATATTCTCCCACTCAGTGCTATTTTTGTAGAAAAGGAGGTGCCGGAACTCTTCATGGACGCCTCCCTTGTTCTCTTATAATGGCAAAGGTGCCCACCTGAGAGGTGCCGGAACTGAGTTCAGGTGAGTTCTGGATGAAAAAAAGCCCTGCATCGTACTTGTGATTTCTGTTGACATCTTTCCTCTGGGATCTGGCAGCTTTCGTAGGGTAGTGAAGGAAAACAAGTTATGGGATGGGACAGGCTGAATTGATATGAATTCACCACCAGCCAGTTATTTGACCAAAAGCTCCCCAGTAGTTAGTCCAGTCATACCTCGGGTTACAGACGCTTCAGGTTGCGTTTTTTTGGGTTATGGACTGCTGAAACCTGGAAGTAACCAGAACGGGTTACTTCTGGGTTTAGCGGTCGTGCATGCACAGAAGTGCCGAATCGCAACCCATGTGTGCGCAGACACACAGCTGTGGGTTGCGAATGCTGCGGGTTGCGAACGTGCATCCTGCATGGACCACGTTCACAACCCGAACATCCACTGTATATCTACCGTAATTTCCATAGCTTCTAAGAGTATGTCTGTCTGTCTATCTAGTTCAGACTATTGTGCCATTTTTGTGTGAATATTATTTAATAGAAAAAACTCTTCTTTTTCTAACAGGGCTAACAACTTTTATTTCCTTTTATTTAGACGTAACCATTGCAATGTCTTTCTGCGGCATCTCCTGTGCAACTGTGGACTATCAGCTAGCTTTACGAAAATCACTGCCTGAGAAAAAAAACTTTCCAGGGATATTTTCCAAATTAATATATCTTTTCTATAAACTGTTGACTTTGACATCTTGGATACTCTGCATCGCTCTGGTCACCGTACTAAGTATAACGTCTCTTGTTCTACTTGTGTTTCTTTGGCTTTTGAGTATATGTTGGGTCCTGAAGCAACACACAACATTTTGTACATCTAAAGGACCAGAAATTGTCTACAGGACTATTGTGGGAATCATTCTTATTTTTACCTTTTTTAATGTCAAGGGAGAAAAGACCAAAATACCTCTGATTGTTTATTATACTGCTCGGGGGTTTATAACTGCAACAATACTGTATGTTTGCATGTCCTGCAAATCAGTGTTTAATGGGAAAATATATTTGTTATCTGTAATCATGGTGGTCATTATCACCCTAATATTGGGCATTATTTTTCTTATTTCATATTATGCATATTTTCATCCTAGGAATTTTTACACACAAGATGTAGTTGATGGACCAGGAATTTATTACACACAAGATGTAGTTGATGGACCAGGAAGTGAAAGAACAGAAAACTGTAGAATGAGGGGATTCCTGATGCAATAAATCTCATGACAATTATCTGTTGCTACTGCTATGCTTCTTTTTATTTAATAAGATATGATAGCCATCTTCAAATATCCAAAGGGCTGCCACATGGAGGATGGAGCAAGTGTGTTTTCTCCTGTTTGAGAGGCTAGGACCTGAACCAGTGGCTTCAAGTTACAAGAATGGAAATTCTGACTAAACATCAGGAATGATTTCCTGACAGTAAGAGCTGTTTGACAGTGGAACAGACTCCCACAAGAGGAGGTGGTTTCTCCTTCCTTGGAGGTTTTTAAGTAAAGGTTGGATGGCCATTTCATATGTGTAATCTAGTTGAGATTCCTGAATTGCAAGGGGGTGAACTAGATTACCCTTGGGATATCTTCCAGCTCTATGATTCTATGATTCCCTCAGTGCAAAAAGTCACTAATGCAGTAATAGTGCACTGGAGGTCAATTTATACTGGGCCATCCTGTTTTATTTCCCTACTAGTGATGTATGGAAGTGAGAGCTGGACCTAAAGAAGGCTGATCGCTGAAGAATTGATACTTTTGAATTATGGTGCTGGAGGAGACTCTTGAGAGTCCCATGGACCGCAAGAAGATCAAACCTATCCATTCTTAAGGAAATCAGCCCTGAGTGCTCACTGGAAGGACAGATCCTGAAGCTGAGGCTCCAATACTTTGGCCACCTCATGAGAAGAGAAGACTCCCTGGAAAAGACCCTGATGTTGGGAAAGATGGAGGGCACAAGGAGAAGGGGGCGGCAGAGGACGAGATGGTTGGACAGTGTTCTCGAAGCTACCAGCATGAGTTTGACCAAACTGCGAGAGTCCGTGGAAGACAGGAGTGCCTGGTGTGCTCTGGTCCATGGGGTCACAAAGAGTCGGACATGACTAAATGACTAAACAACAACAACATGATGCTTCCCCAATGTTTCCACATTATTTCTGTCTGGGTGAGTGCTCTTGCATATAATACAACATCAATTGAAAGATAACCCAGAACAATTGTGGCATATGAAAAGTTAGAGGATTTTAGCAGGAAGCTGCAGGACATGCACTGATTGGAAACAAAGGACCCTGAAACTTTGGCAGAATTGAAAGTGTGATCACATACAACTAGTATGCCAATATCATAATGAGCCCAAATCAAGAATGAACAATAAAATACATTTGGAAGGCTCCCGAGTTTATTAGACTTGCAGGCTTGCTTTGCTCCTTGTCATTCAGGTAGGAACTATAACTAAATCCTTCCAGTGAGTTCATGTGGAGGGGAAAATGCAACCTTTCTTTCAGTTTGGTCTTGACAACTTCATTCATGCCTTTCAATGCCAAGACTTGATTGCAGGAATGTTTTCTGCAGTGTGTTTCGCCTGAAGATTGCAGCTGATGCAGAATGATCTGGACAGTGCATTAGTAATCCAGGATGTTCAATGGTTTCTTATGCCCTTATAATACATCACAATTTGTGATGCTAGTTTTGATCTGTGAATATGTGAACAACTTGAGCCTTACATGACTTTTCTGTGAAATGTCATATTCATGGCAGGCTGGCATTTCCTGGCTGGAATTATTGTGTGTACAAAGCAATTTTCAGTTATGGTATAATGAGCCTTTGTATCTACAGTATATCATTTTATTTTATGTGTTGTATTTGGTTTGGCTTTCTGTTTTGTTATTTTGGGGTGACTTTCTATATACTCTTTACAGGGAAATGTCCCACTCAAGGTACATTTCGCTGCAATTCCTTTGATATGCATCTTATCAGCATGTGAAACTGACGAAAGGCTACGTTAGTTCAGCAAATGGAATTCACATGCTTACATGTGATGTTTGACTTTCACCTCACTGGAAAGAAAAAGCCACAGGTGCTATGAACAGTATGTTGTACAAAACCAGGGGAATGCTTTATATAGCTTGACCAGGAAGCTCTTTGTGAGGGCAGAATCCAAAGGGCTGTTCCACTTATTGTTTTGATTCATGACAGAACCACAGAATCAGGAAGTATCTCTTAAGGAGGTACTTCTTGTTGGAAGGATTAAGAGCTACCATAACTGTTGTTATACAAGAGTAGCTCTGTCTCTATGCTGTTTCTGCTAGGCAGGGACTAAGTCTGCATACCTTAAAGTGTATAACTTCTCCAAATAATCCTGGGAACTGTAGTTTGTTAACGGTGCAGGGAATTGTAGCTCTGTGAGGGGTAAGCTAGGAATCTTTGTGGTAAGTCGTGCTTTAAATGTTGGGTGCCTATGCAGCCAGGGACTGCTGCTGCCATGAGCTTGTGGTTAGTGGGTGATTAGTTTTCTGCTTCAGGTGCCAATTGCCTGCAAAGTGCTTTGTGTGGAAATGCCCTCAGTATTGGCATCTGACAATACACGGTGGTAGGTTTTAGAGCAGCAGTAGCCCACTTTGTGTTCTCCAGATGTTGTACTGCACCTTCCAACAGCCTCAGCCAACCTGGCAAAGTTCAGGGTCCGACAACATATAGAAGGCACCGTATTTGCTGGCCTTATTTCAAAGAGAATGGAAGTTATGGAGTGAACTGGCCCCAGCACAACATTTATAAAGATATGGCTATCCTTTTTCGCACATGCCACATAATGCACCATTGAACCTCTCTCCTGTTCTTGTGTTTATGTGAAAAATAGTAATGCAGCTCAAAATAGTCTTGTATCAGGCTTTTTAATCCATTAATAGTGGCTTTGAAAGGTGGAGTTGCATCATAACCTTCTTGCACTTTCTGTTACCTGTGAACAGCTGTGGTCTGTCCAAAGCACATTTTTTATCTTCCACTCACCATTTTCCTGCAGCTTTTCCTATAACACCACCTCCCTGTTTGCAAATGTTGTTATTGACTGGCATGCCCTCCTTATCAAATTCCTCTTCCTTTTCTACAAATCCGGCCTTCCACAGTATGACCGTTCTCTTCACTCTTTGTTCTTCCATGAAGCTTACAAGGTAAGAGAAACTCACTGCTGCAATTGTTTTCTTCTTTAACACATCAGCAGCTCAGGTACAACCAGCAGCTGTGACAATGACAATCTTTTTACCGAATCAGTTTCATGGAGAAGTGGGAATAAGTAGCAACGCTCATTAACTGTTGCAGTGGGGATTCCTGAACGTTGATTAAAGTACGGTACTTAAAAATGCATGCATGATTTCAGTCTCTCCCTCCACCCAACTTGCAGGACAGTCCTTCCGTCATGTTATATCTTGATTTCACCACATGAGGGCTTCTTTGTAAGAAACAGGAACGACTAACTACAGAATTACAGCAAAATGTAATGATAGCGTTTCCTGTAAACATTGCCTAGAATAAACCCTAAGGCTATAAAACTCGAATGACTCAGATGTGCTTAAGCCTCGTGTCAACTGAATGTGTCTAAATCGGTACCAGTGTATCTGAGGTCAGGCAGAAACATGCAAATGTGCATATCATTAAGGGCGATATTTCAAATTAAAAATGGCCACCTCGAAAATAAAATGGTAAAGGCCTCTTTGGATTTCAATCTATTACAGATGCTCACGCACACTTCCGCTTTCTATTCTGGGCAGCCCTTAAAATCCAGCTGCCAGTCAGACCGTGGATTGTGCTTGACCTTGTCATTTTAATCTAACTGCAAATTGAAAGCAAATGTTACCCCCCACATCCACCCCCACCCTTCAGTACGGCCATGACATCTTGCAACAAGTATTTTAATAAGTTAAATGAAAGATAATAAACAATTTCTTCCTGTTTTGACTACTGTCAGTGCTGTGGATGAGGGGGCAGGATCCCACCCAAATTATTTTAATTACTCTGCTGGTCTCAGCTGCGGCATCTGGTGGCACTGGCAAGCTTGCCTGGTGTGCCACAGAGAGTCCTGATTTATGAAGCTGTAATTGGCTTTCCAATAAACATTTGTCAAAATAATGTACTCATTCAAACCAAAGCCTGTTTTATATGTTCATATAAAAGAGCACTTAACTTTCAGCAAAGAATTGTCTGCCATCAAAAACACTCTATAAACGGGGGAAATTTATGAAGACTAAGTACTCGAGGGTGATCACTGGAGGACTAAAGTTCACTTTCAACCTTTGGCGTGTTGAGTTCTGCTGTATGCTGGTTACTGATACTATATGTATCTCTCCCCCTTTCTCCAAGACTTATACTGAAAACCCAGGGTGCCCCCCCCACCCTGGCATGAAAATATAAACCTATCTTTTCAACATAAATTATTTACTGAGCAATCTGTAGGTAAGTAGGAAAATAAGGCATAAAGGATGTAATTAACTGGAAGGAGATTTCACCTTAATTACTGAGTTTATTGAAATAGATGCATATCCCATTGTTTGCAAGGACCTGCTAATATTTCTATTTAGAACTAAATGGCTGATGTGGCTGTTTTTTTTATGTTACTGGTTAGCTACAGTTTTTGCACAAGACTATTGATAACATGTTGCAGAGGAATGAGCACCTGTTTAGAAATGAAGCTCCTTCTCTGGACTTGGACCAAACATCATGGCTGTAACAAGCCTGTACTGAAATAACAGAAATATTACTATAATACCAGAAATGGAACGACTTTGTGAATAATTCAGTCTTAGCCCAAGAGGCGAGATGTTCTATGTATGCCTAGAGAAGTGGTAAGGCATCCCCATGGACCTCAATTCCCATCATCCCAGATCATTGGGGCTGATGGGAGTTGGAATCCAACATCTGGAGGCCCAACGCTCCCCAATCCTTGGCCAACTCTAGAGCTTCCTTGGACACTTCTGAAAAACTCCTGCTGAAGGAGAGTTTGTAAACTCTCATGTCAGCATCTTCTCTTCATAAATTGTTCTAATAGCCAAGTAAGAAGGAACTGACTTCCCATGATTTAGACCCTAATGCATCTTGTGTTGGTGCAGAGATGTATGCATCAACAGGAGGACCGGGAAGATCCGTGTTCAAATCCCCACTTAGCTATAAAGTTCCTTGATGACCTTGGGCCAGTCACTACCCACAGCCTCTCCAACCAGCTCACAAAGTTGTTGTGAGGAAAAAATGAATTGGGGGTGGGTGGGAGGAGAACCATGTACACTGCCTTGAGGTCCTTGGAGGAAAGCCAGGATATAGGAATATAGGATACAGGATATAGG